AATTTTGTTTGCTGTTAGAATTAAAATTAATCTTTTATTGTTATTGTAAAATTACTGTATTACCAAATCAACAAGATTGTTGTGAGATACATCAAAGACTTTTAATTTTGTTATTGCGTTTTCTGAACTTTTTTCCAAATTGTTCATATGATTATAACTCAAATTAAATTTGGAAAGGGAAGAAGCTGTACTTAAGACAGAAATATCGAAGTCCAAAACTAAATTGTTAGAATAATCTAAATCTTCCAGCTCATTTAGGTTCTTAAGGATGTCTGAATGTATATTATCCAATTTATTTTGAGACAAATCCAATCCTTTTAAATGTTTCAGATGCTTTAGTTCATTTAGAGGTAAAAGCACTATATTGTTCTTTGACAAAATAAGTTTGTTTAATGGTCGATGCTTATCTAGAGTAAGAAGATCGAAGTTAAGAACTTCATTAGTTCCCAAGTGTCTGTCATGACAATTAATAATTGGTCCTACATCTGTAAGAACATGTAATATTACATTGATATTTATGATTTATATTCTTAGCGTATCTCTTATTACAAATCGTATATTATGATACATTATTATTTACGGTAACAATGATAATGACAAAAATATATATTACCATGTATTTATTGATTTATTTATTGTCATTTATTAATTTATTAAATCTTGTATTAGGTGTACAACTTTGCTTCCGCCGTTTTTTTTTCCGAAATTCGAGGCTTTATTGTAAAAAACTGGTTATAAAGGGTGTTTTTTTAAGCCCGATAGAACTTGAAATTGTAAAAAATAAAACAAAAAATTAAATTTTAACAAAAAAATTTTTTTTATTTCTTTCAGTATACACTGGCAAATCATTATGAATAGACTCACGCTTGAATCGGCTTTCGCCGCTTGGGCTCTAGAGCAGTTGGCAACTGACTCGTTGTTTTATCGACAAATTGTGTTCAGCGATGAGGCTCATTTTTGGCTTAACGGGTTTGTTAATAAGCAAAATTGCCGCATATGGAATGAGAACAATCCACAAGAGATCCTACAGACCACTCCATTACATCCAGAAAAATGCACCGTTTGGTGCGGTAGTGCCACGCTGGTGGCATCATCGGACCTTATTTCTTCAAAAATGAGGCCGGAGCTCGCGTTACGGTCAATGGAGATCGTTACCGCACCATGATCAATGATTTTTTATTTGAAAATATGGATGACATTGATCCGGACGAGATGTGGTTTCAACAGGATGGCGCTACGTGCCACACGTCGACCGCAACCATCGACTTATTGAAATCAAAATTTGGCGATAAGTTGATTTCGAGAAATGGAACTGTCAATTGGCCTCCAAGGTCGTGCGATTTGACCCTTCTCGATTATTTCCTCTGGGGCTACGTCAAGTCACTGGTTTATGCTGATAAACCAGCAACAATTGACGCCTTGGAGGACAACATTGTTCGTGTTATTCGTGACATACGGCCGGCACTGCTCGAAAAAGTCACTCAAAATTGGACGTCCAGAATGCGCTTCGTCAAGAACAGCCGCGGTGGCCATATGCCCGAAATCATTTTCA